CCACAGAATAAACAAATTTGCTGGTGCGCTTAATTGAGTTCAATTAGCCAATAATCATGCCCATAAAGCTGTTTTTTCTATGAAAATATGTATAATGTATGTTTTTGTTTTTAGCTTCCATACGAGTTATATGTTTTTCGTTTTTTTTTTGGCATTTTTTGGTTTTGGCATAATCCTACCAACTGATTATGGTTTAAACAATTCAATTAAGTAATTACAAGCAGAATATGACCAATTTCCAATGCAATTTAATAGTAATACTCACCTCTTGTTTTGTGATATAGATGGGCTTATTTATAATAATCCATACGGTGCTCTCCCAGCAGCCGGGATGCGTTGTGGATCCCTCGTAGGTTATGTAATTATCTGTATTTGGCAACAGTGAACGCACTGATATGTGCCGAATGGGCGTGGAAAAGCCTATCAAAGAGGAAAACCGTAAAGATTTTTGAAGTGCAAGCAAATAAATTTACATAAACATGTTTATATATTGAGTATTTAAAGGCGACAAAACGACAGAATAAATGCGTTTTCTTTAATTCTGAAATACTTGCAATGGTACGGCAATCAGGCTGCACTACGAGTCAAATTTTAATGTGAAACAAAATCGCTTATGGAGATATGTCGGGGACTATTGCACTCTATACGAACCGAACTTGTCTTCAAAGCGCTACTACTCGAAACTCTAACTGAAATATTTTCTGTCGAAACCCTCCAATACAATCGGTAGCAATCACTCTATTTTAGTTTGCGATTTCACTCGTAAAAGGTAGCTGGTGAATTCACTAAGGCCGAGGCCACGCAATGAGCGGCTGAGCGCTCAGCGGCTTAACATTAAAACATATGAAATACTATTGAAGTGGACACGCAATGAGCAGCATTTGTGAGTGGCTCCACGGCGCCATACAGAAATGCCGCTCACTGCGTTGCCTCGACCACAGTCGACGTACTATTCTAGGGAATATCGAAAGGTGATGAACAACATGATATCTGAAATACAATGCCGGCGGACGGCGAACTCATCACAGCGAAATTCGCGCTGTCAAAATAAGAACACTCACAAGCATATGAAATTGAACACAGCCAAAGCGAAATGCGAAGTTCGCTCGGCGGCGTTTCGTCGCGATAGATTTATTTCTATCGCCTTGCTGGGCGATGGCAGCTGTACGTGCCAAAGGTGGCCGTATTTCCTTTTTGCTTTCAAAGTTTTAGAAGAAAACAACATAAACATGCATTATTTTTGCTGTTTGAAAAATATAGTTGTGGATTCTTTAAATCTTGAAATCTTGAAATAAAATAATTTCTCTTTGTTTCATATTTATATTTGTTATCATTTCCTGTTTGTTATCAGTTCTAAATATGGTTTAGTTTTTTCTAAATATGGTCACCTAAATTATAAAGGCGACCAAATAGTGTCAGCTTTTTTCGCTACCGCTCTAATTCTGTTTAAGTAGGCGAACGGTGAACAACAGCATCGCCCAATTCGGCGAAGTTTGCCGTTCGCCGGCATTGTATTTCAAGCATTACTGGTAATCTGGTACCTTCTCTTGGAAGGCGTGAGGTCAAGGACAATGTTGGCTAGCTTAGCTAAATAAGCAGAGTGTCTTCATAAAAGGCGATTGGCGAAATAAAAAGTATCAAATAAGTTCTCGCTATTTTCGTAATTTCACTTTTTAACTGTTGCCTGAAGTGGATATGCCACAACTTATATATTTAATTTACTTTTTATTTTTTCTATTTTAAGTTCGCAAAAGGTAATGTACCTACTAATACAAGCAACCAAAGTAAAAACTTTTGTTGGCGTCATTTATAGCAAAGGTGGCGCAAAATTGAGGAATAATTCCGTTTCTTTCGTTCTATTTTTCTTCTTCTTGTTATTCGTTTTCTTTGCAAACATATTCTGAATTTGATTTTCTCTAAGGACCTTTTTTATTTTATGTTTTCTTTTATTTGCTTTATGATTTTTTTTTTTTATAAAATCTTCAAGCACTAACTTTTCTACAGCTCAATTTTTGCTGTTACTTTCTCGCCCTCGGCAAGCTAGTGGTCAATGCAGCAGGCATCGGCTGCAAGAGCTTGGCGTGACGACGTGTCAAAGAAGGTTTTAATGGCAAAATTTAACTGCCACTTTTACTGTTTGCATTGCTTCCTGCAACAGCGTGCAAAAGCTTAGCGGCCTCTACTGTGCATCCTACTGCGCTGCCGAGTGGCGCCTGCCTCGGCGTGGCCACTCGGAAAACTGTTTACCTCACTAGAATGCCTACCAAATGAAATTAAAATTTACCAAAAGTGATAGTTCGCAAATGAATTGGTAAGCTAAACCTCCAACGCGGTCTTACAAGCCAACGTTAACTAAAGAATATAACCAGGATTGGTAACGGATATAATCTTTATAATAAATATCTTAATTTAACCGTTAAAACGGATTTATATTTTTCTGATCAAATTTCATCGTCATGTTATGATTTTTATTTTATCGATAAATTTTTTATCGTTTAAATTGGTCATAAACACGCAATCCCCATCTTAAAATCCAAAAATAACGTTTAAATTTGACCGAACAAATTACAAATTTAACTATAACTTTGATCGGAAAAATAAAAGTGAAAAAATAATGATTTAGCAATTATTGTCAATCCCCCAGTTTGTCTGGTCGAAGACCTCGCAAAAGAACAGATTAGATGATCGGTGGCAGACCGGACTTCATCATTATTAACCCTGTTCTGAGGCTGGTTGGTAAAAGTCCAAAAAGTATAAAATGTTCCATTTATGGCAGAAATTAATTTTAAGATTATGCTTACTTTCTTTAAAATTTTCATGGTAAAAAAGTGCATATTTATTAGATGGGGACCCCAAGTGAAAGATAATAATTTCTTTTTGTTTCTAGAAAAACGTGATCCATAAAACACAAATTTTCAAGTAAGTGTCAAAAATGGCTGCCACCCTATGCGGTGCTTCCCAAACTCAGAATTTTTCTTATTTTAATCTTTCCGCTTTGCATAGCTAGAACCAATAAAGTTTTGGCCTCGAATCAATTTAAGGATTATATTTGTCAAATTACAAACACCTACATTTTTCGAAGTCTGAGGCCGGACTAAACTTTCCATCGGTTTTTGGCGCGCTGAAGTTGAATCTGACATCAGGTTATCAATATATACAAACTTTCCCAATATTCGCCGTACATTTTCGTTACGAATAAATATTTTTTTTCAGACAACTTTTTTGAATTATTTGAAAACTAATTTTTTCCAACTAACTTTGAAATTTATGAGTACGGCAATATTTTTTTTGCTACTTCCATAACCTTTAAATATTTTTGGTATAATTTGAAGCTACTTTATTTATATTAAGTAGAATCGGTGAATATTAGGATGCTCGATTATTCGACTTTTTTCTAAAACCAATTTTCGAGTTACTCGAACAAAACTATTTGAAGAAAAACCGGTTGCTGATTTTTTAATTCAGAAAAACCCCGTCTAGACCGGCAATGAATAGTTTTTAATTTTTCGTGCTTAGATAACACAGCACAGCAAAACCCTTCGAAAACGTTAATAAAATAATTAAATAAAGCCGTTTGCCTAAATTTTTAATTTCTTTAGTTATGAGGTTCTTCCAGAAAATTTTCCAATTATTATGTACTCAAAAATAACTTTTTATTAATATGTACATCATATTTTGTTAAATTTTCGATTTTATTAATTTTTATCGCACTGTCAAAAAATATTATTATTATTATTTCAGTCAGCCTAATGTGTATATGTGCTCTTATTTCCAGATATCGCTCAGCCACTAAAATCCCACAAGCTTTGGCAAGCAAAGCCCAAAAGCAAACACAACACTGGCATGCCTGCCAGTTAGTTTCTTCTAGTGCCGCGAAATGATGAGAACGTTGGCGCTACAAATGACACGATCCGCCAAGTGTTTGGCCACAGCTGACTGGCGTGTGATTTGTGCAGCAAAAGTGCCAGCGGAAGGCAATGTGGCAACTGTAAGTGTGCCGCCGCTGCCATGTTATTATATTATGAACCGGCGTTTTTATTGCATTTGGCGGCGCATAATTTTGCGCCATCAAATGGTGGCCATCATTAAGCGTGAAGCCGGCATTGTTATTGTTGTTGCATTATTTTTTTTTTCATTTGCCGTTCGCCTCAGCAGCGCTGAAAGTAATTGTGGACGATAAATGTTGGTAACAAATCGACATACAGTGGCTTCTTCCGCATGTGCTGTGTGGTGGGTGTGTGTGCTGCATATTTTGAACCATGAAAATGCAAACGGTAAGAATTGTAGGTTTCTTTCGAACTTTTCGCTTTCTATTTTTGATTTCTGTTCTCAGGTCGCTAACATTGAGCCAAGTCTTCGGCGCATAATTATTATTGTTCGTGCCGGAAAAAACTCACCTAAGTAGTACACAATTTTTTCCGACTTTTTGCACCTAGCGCAGGAAAAGCCACCACTGGCACCAGCTGGGCCGGCGTGTATTTAATGCTCAACTCCTCCATCAAGCCATGCCACATACTCATCTCTCTATATTTGCAGTATTCTCGCGTTGCTGGCAAATGCTTGCACTCACTCGTATTTGAATCGAGCCTTTGCACTTTGTTGACCGGAAATAACTTGCATGCCTTGTTAATTTCTCTTTTCGGCACGCGCACAAACACACACATCCACACACCCATTTAGCAGTGTTGCCAGAAGTGAAGAATTATCTTCAAAATAAAGATATTTTTCATAAATAATCAGAAAAATCTTCAAATTAATATAATTACAACAAAATAAAACTCCATACAAAAAATTTTCACAGTTAAGATATCTGCCAGCGCTTCAAGATTTATTTTTTTTGGGATGGTTGGAAACATATTTTTCGTTTTTGTTATCAATTTAACTTGCACGGCAGGTAGATATTAATACTGATTTTTACGAGTATGTTTTTGAATTGATTTTGTCTGTCCAAATTCGCGCTCAAACTCGGCATTGTGCAGCTCACACTCGGCTTTATAAATTTCCACAAAATAAAAAATATGGATCGCTGTTTGTTAAAACTAAAAGGTAATTTTGGTTTCTAAATTTAACTTAAATTATTTAATTTAATTAAATTTTCTGTAATTAACTTTATAGAAACATCATCATATAGAAAGGATGAATGCGCAAATAAGAAGAGAGTTTTTGTTATAAATGAAGATATTTCTAGATAAAAAAAGATTTTTTTCTAGTTTCCGTAACCTTTTTATGGTTTTTTGAATATTTTATCATGACTGGGAAGATTTTTAAAAATTTGATTCTGGCAACACTGGCATTCAGCCGCATTTGAAGCGCAAGTCGTTGACATTTGATCCAATCGACAAATCCTGCCCCAACCCACACACTCACACACACACAAGTTGAGTGTGAATTTTTAGAGTAAACTTACCTCTATACAAAACCTTATTAAATGTGGTGGTTATAATTCGTAGTTCGGGATTTGGTGTCTCCCCAATTTGCACCATCAGCGAGAGGCCGACAATACCCTGCGATTTGTGTTGCGCCTCGGACATGTTGTGGTAGAGTTCCTTGTTGAAGCCGTAAATTTGTATCTGTGAATGACAGTTGAAAAGAATGAATGAAGTGAAAGAACGACGAGTGTGGATTAGCGCAAAAGTGAAAAATGTCTGTTAAACCAACAATTTGCTGTTGTCTCATTTACATACATACATATGTATGTCCATGCGAGTATATGGGCGCACACTTACCTCACCGGGGAAACTGTAACCCTGTATATAGTGCTCTGACCCCCGACTGTTCTCTGTGCCATAGTGTATGTAAATCTCTTCGAATTGATAGCGATAGGCGAGTGGGCCACCGGTGATGTTAACCGGTTGCTTTGTGTCCTTGTCGACGCGGAAGACGAGCGATTGACCTGTGTTGTGTAGTGTACCGGAAACCTGGGCGATAACAGCCAACAGTGAACAGCAAACATCAAGCGAACCAAGAACACAGCCAGTCAGTCAGTCAGTTAGTAAAAGAGACAGCAGTTTGCCAAACAAGCAGTCATCCAGTCAACCAGCCAACAAAGTTAAGCATTCAAACAATCAGCCAATCGAGCGTGCAAACAGACAGCAAACGATGCGACGAAAATTGAAAAGAAAAGAGAAAACAAATGGCTTTGAGCTACTGATTGTCGTTTTTTTCCTCTTTTCGGTTGTGTAGAATGTGCGAATTTAAGCTGATTTTTAAAGAACAAATGTACTCAAAAAATTTTTAACTTGCTGGAATAGGAAATTGCTAATTAGTCACATATAGGATTGATTCTTTTTTAATTTGTAAATGTAATAATGCAGCGAATGTTAGATCACAACAAGAGATCTGTGCTATGCGTACTTAGCTTTACATGACTTGACCTTCGTAGCATTTATAACTCAAGATAGCATAACTGGGCTTTAAGTATATTCATGACGAAGTTCAGAAAATACTGAGCTAACCAACCCTGTAATTAGGTAAATGTTCAAGGTTGCCTCGGATTTTTGTGATGTTGTATGGATGTCAACCATGTCGGACCATATCTCCAGAATCTTAGAGGTCATATGGCAAAGCGAAATATTCTTCCTATTTGGAAAGTAAAGAAGTTACTTCCAGCCATCTCACTCAGGAGAGTAGAATAATCTCAACATGAAATCGTGAAAGTTCTTCTAGTCGGTGGTAAAGTTTCGCTGTTCGGGGGAATTTACGCAGGAAAAGGTGCAACTCTCGATTCATATAAATACATAGCTGTCTTTCGCATTAAATAAATACCAAAAGACTTCTAAAAGTTAGTTAACATTTCTGATATCGTTTCGACGTTGTATATCGAAGTTCTAAAAATGAACCAGCAACATTTTCTGTATTATTTATTTTTTTTTGTGAATTTTCAGAAAAATTTAGTATAGTAAAGTACAAGTTTCAAGTGATCAGTTTAAAAAATTTTTTTGTTGACATTTCTTTGCGCACACTTTACGCATTAAAAAGAAATATTAAACATGAAATTTTTAAGCAAAAAACAAAACCGACTTCAATTCCCATATAAAAATTTAAGATAATCATTAGTTTTTTCATGATCCAATGACTGGATTTAAACCAAATTAGTGTGGGACCACCTATGGGGTAACACCCTTACTTAAAAAAAAGAATTATAGAAATCGGTTAACGTGGTCCAAAGTTATCCGGTAACATATGTACGTTAAAAAAAAATAAAAAAAATAAAGAAATATTCCGACGAAAAGATAACCTTCTCCTTTTTGTGAAGTCGGTTAAAAAGAACTAAAATTTTTCTAAAAATTAAAAAAAATATTTTCGAATTATTTTATATAACATTTATACGATTAAACGATTTTGGCCAAGTTCGACAAAGCACGCCAGTCGTTTTTGTAGTGCTTCTATTTACATAGATCACAGTAATTTTATTCAAAGTATGCAACCGTTTATGAGTGTTCCCTTTTTGGAAGAAAGAAACTTTTTTGTAGCGATCCACTGCATTCTAAAAACTAAAATCTATTACTGCTAAAAATATTTAGTTCTCACTATTATATACACATATTCTATATACATAACTACGTACATATGTATGTAGCTCTTACCTTGTGCTTGTCGATGTGTAACGGCCGCAGGTACGGATCGAAAAGTAATTTGTCGGGCACCACATCTATGGGGGATTGGCGTCGCCCTTTATTGCACATATTCCATTGTGGATTGATAAGGCCCCAAAAACTTGGTCCTTAAAAGTGGAAAAGACAAAACATCGATTAAGAAAAAGCGTATATAAAATGTAAAGAAGCTTTATATTATGAATCTAGATCGAGGTTGGGCACTAAATGTATGTATTGAAAAAGCTATGCCCACGCATTGCTCATACATTTCCCACGCATTGATAATAAAGTGGAATAATGTATTGTGGAACGGTTTTGCGTCATCTCTTGTCAAATTTGGTTTGGAGACAAACCGGTTTCAACGAAACATCACATTGAAGATGGCGCAATGCCGAAGCCAGGAGTGACAGAAAACTTTTCCACAATACATCATACTGCTGTCCTATCGGAAACACCAGCTTTTCAAGATTTAACGAGAAAATTTGCAATTTATTTGCAACCTATTTGAATATTTTTCTATACTTTTCGCTTAAATTTTTTAAGACCTCTCGGGACCTTTCGGGGTTTATCGAAAGTTTTCTAAAATATTTCCAATTTTTCAGGAACTTTTTATGATTTTCTCTTAGTTTTCGAGTTTTGGCACGTTTTTATCTCGATTTTTTAGGACCTTTCCAAAATTTTTGGTGTATTTTCCGGACTTCTGATGAACTTTGGGATTTTTTCCCTAGTCTGCTGGTTTTTTCCTTTTCGCGATACATCGTTTTGATTTATTGGGAACTTTCGGGATGTCACATTTTTTGGAACTTTTATGGACCTTTTTCGAAACTTTGTAAGATTTATTTCTGGAATTTTTACGATTTTCTCTGTCCGAACATTTTCGGGATTTTTCGGGAATTTTATTATTTTTCTTCCGTAATTTTTCGGAGCTTTGGGAAATTTTAATTTAGATTTTTTAGGAACATTAAAGGAGGCTATGGGGGTTTTTCGGGACTTCTCGTAATTTTTTCTCGGGATTTTTGAAACTTTGGGATTTTTTTCGGTAGCCTGCAGAGTTTTTTCCTTTTCGCGATACATTGTTTTATTTTATCGGTACCTCTCGGGATTTCAGGGGTTTTTTCGGAACCCTCAGGGATTTGTTTCGGAAATTTTGAGATATTTGTTTTTGAAATTTTTAGGATTTTCCCTTTTCGGGGTATGTTTTGGCAAGTGTACATTTAAATCTTAATTTTGCATTTTATGAATGCCTTAAAGGCAAAAGTAAATTTACCGGTCATTTTGTGCTGAAAAAATGTCAGAAAATCTTTGACTTACATTTTTGTCTTCAAAAATTAAAAATCGAAGAAATAATAAGTATTTTTTTACTCAAATTAATAAAAGTCAAAAGTAAACTTAATTTTTAGCTTTCTATAACGAAATTCATACTCAATTTCTTCTCCGATATTTAAGTGTAGTACTCACTCTCAAAATCTAGTGAATACTTTACTTCACTTTATCTGACGGACAATCAAAGGCTTATCGGTTTATTACACCTTTAAGAAAAAGTCTGACCTCATTTTACAACACCAACACTTTGCAGCTCAAAAATAAAAAAAATAACGGCAAGCGCAAAACTTTATGCCCAATAAATCCCAGCACAGCACAACGCCGATGAAATTCGCTTCGTTTTAAATTTAAAAATATTTTATTGCATTCAGTTAAACTTCAGTGTTCGCCCTTCAAATACTTTTACCACTTTTAATTACTTCAATTTTAAAATGCAGTCAATGGCAAACGCAAGCAGCCACGAGCCATGTCCCGGCGTCAATGTGAATGTCAGTCGTTGCGCGCGGAAGTTTATCCAATGTCAGTTGATGGATTTTGCAGGCCACGAATAGTTGCTTGCCAGCAATACCGCTAACACCGCCAACACCACCAACACCACCAACAATTACAGCGACAACACAACAACAACTAACTCGCAATCTGAGTGAGGTGAATGAAAGCGCTTCCATTTATTATCCGATTCCATCAAAGTGAATGCGCGTATATGTAAATAAAATGCCATGAATGCAGTTTTACACATACAAACATATAAAGTTGCATGCAAGCAAGCATTTGCACCTATGTAACTGGAAATGTAACACATGTATTTGTTGTTTTATATAGCGGAAATATTAAATTTTTTATTCATTGCACGCGTATCCCCAGCTGTCATTCGTGTCCAAGTCAACAGCCCTTTGTCGCTCATATTTCCCCTTTACACTCACTTCAAATAGCCGGTGGGTGAGTCGGTATGTGGGTTTTGCCGTATTCAGGTATGTATGTAAATATGTACAACACACAAATGCATTTCTGCGATTGTGCGCTCACCACGCAAACTTTTCGACAGGTCACATGTCATTCATGTCAACTCATTGTGACTGCGTTCAATGTTGGTATTAAATGCAGTTCAAAACATACAAAAAAAAAAATAAAATTAAATAGGTGGCGCGTACACACCCCGTTCGGTGATTGGCCGTGCTTCTACTTCGAATTTTGTTGCGGGTCTGGTATATTGACTTACAATGAAAAATCTCTAGAAGACGGTGGATTTTCTAGGTGGGCCTTTTCATAACAGGGGTATACACCTTTTGCCTGCATTTTTATGTTTCGTGTGCCAGGATATGAACCAGGTCCTGCCCAGTGATTCTACGTAAGCACGGGCATTACGTCGGCCACCAGAAATGCTTTCAAACTACGTTCATGTATGCATGCAAATCTACATATATACATATATAGTACATATACAGTACAGTGTCTGATCGAAATGCGGTTGGACTAGTCGCTCTGAATTGTGATGTGCGGCTCAAATTTTGAGGACAGGTGAGCCAGTTGTGCGTGCAACAAATTTGTAAATCGACATTTTGAGTTTCCGTATATAATGAGGTGTATACTTGTTTTCGTACGAATCGAAAATTTGAGATTGCCGCCCAAGCACTGCAAGATGGTCTGCGCTAAGACTAATCATCCATCAAAATCGACGTACATTGGAAAATATTAGGCGCTATAGATGTAAGCGATGAAGAAGTTGGATACCCAAGCACGTAAGTAAATTTAAGGGTGAAGCTTGAAAGCCCTGGTGACACCATCGCGCAGTAGAAAATGTTTGACTAACTTTTTTTTACCGAAATAAATAATTCCTTTTGTAAAATACCTGGAGCGGATTTAAGAAAAGATTGCCTAGGCCCGAATTAAAAATATATTCGATTTTTATCAGCAAGTGGTGAAAGTCGAAAAATTCAAAAAATTAAGGCAACCATCAAAATGGAAGTAATAGTTTTCTTGGTCAAAAATTTCAGATTTTAAATGTCGATTTTTCTTTGAACTGATAATAAAATCATGAAATTAAAATAGCCGATTTATCAACAAAATGCAAATATTCGAGTTTTGGAAAGCACCCGCTTTATTGGATCACTGAATTAAAACTCAAAGACCTTAAAAGCGTTTTTACAACCTAAAGAATCTTAAATTTATCACCAAGAAAAAGTCTACTTTTAGTTCGATAGTCCCTTGTTTTGTTTAATTTTCCGACTTTCACCATATGCTGAAGAAAATCAAAGCATTTTTTTTCGGAGTCGACGTAAAACTGTAGGTCCCTCCGCCCTCCGCTCACTAGAGGTGCAAAACTATCGATGGCACTATCGATAGTATCGATGTTTTTTATTTTTCCCTACTATCGATTGTTTTTTGGTCCTATCGATAGTCCGACAGACATGTGATTCAGTATTTATTTTAGTCTTATTTCTTCTTTTCTTTTCATTTCTCTTAAATATCCAAGTTGAACTAAAAATTTGGTTGCTACTTTTTTAAAAGAGTAATGTTAAATTTCGAAAATGACGGAAAACCTTGCATCTTTTAAAATACTGCTAAAAAACTGATACAAATTAATTTATACCAAAACTTTCAATATTATCTATCTAATAAAAGGTAGATAAAAACCATTACCTCTCAGATAAAAAATGTTTCCTTCTTCTAAAATTGAAATTTACTTAATGAATGCCTTATATATGACGGAGGATATCGAAAACCACAAATATAAAATTTCAGTACGCCCAATTTTATTCCATTTCAATACAATTTAAATTCTCAATAACTTTACTTCTAACTTAACGGTTAAACAATTAAAAAAGTGTCAGCAGTTTACAAGGTTATCGAAACGTAATTTCGGAATATATTCCTAAGGAAATCTTCATACGAAAATTGAACCAAAACCATATAAATACGATACTATCGACAATATATCGATAGTTTTGAAAATAATATCGAAAACTATTGATGGCCTGACTATCGATAGTTTTGCACCTCTACCGCTCACCCCTTGTCAAACATTGTAAGCTCACAACTAACTATGAAAATGTTGAAGAAAAGTAGAGCAAAGATTTATATTCTTAAATACTTTTTTTCTTCTGATATTTTAAAAGGCACCAAAAATGGGTTATTAAATACATATATATACGGTGGCGGATGCTGCATTCCAAAAAGTTGCGGCTATTTTTCTTTTGTTTATTTATAGCTCGCTATCTAACAAAAATCACATAATGCTACGGTAACTGTGCATGATTTATTAGGAAGATAATGGGCTACAAAACTGCATACCCAAACTTTTATGAAAAAGTTTGAAACTTTATAGAAACTTTGCAAAAATTTTTTAAGTTAAAACTCCGACTTGGGTTGTTTTTAGTAGACAGTGAGCTAGTGAACTTTCGTCAGAAAATTATAAACATTATATAAAGAAAAGAAAAATTGCTAAAATTTGTTAAAACGTCGCGTTCCTATTTATTTTCTCGCGCATATGTACATATATCAATTCTGTACTATCTGATTCGTAATGTTTATTACCACATCGCTATGTACCTGGACATCTGGCGCACAAGCTGATTTTGACAACCCTCAATAACTGTCGATTTGGACTGATGTTGATTGATATTATGAAATGCGCCATTGCAAACAGTGAAAAAAATATATATTTAAAACAAAGTAAGAGTAACCTATTTGGACTTTTAATTTACTTGTGCACAGCCTGTGAGTGCCAAGGGACAATGAACTTCGTATAAAATGACATTCCTAATTGATTAAATTGCTCGATACATACGTGAGAAGGAAAAATGGGCACAAAAAAAACCAAAAGTTTTATTTATTTTTCCCATTTGAATATTATGCAAATGGTTTATTTATAGGGTCGCTGATATCTTTATACATCTATCTAAATATTTACGCTCGGGGTTCCTAGAATTTATATATTTTTGTTTTTTATATATCCGTATAAAATCGTATAATAGATTTAATTTGCATGTATATATGTATATATAGAAAATTTCTTTTCTTTTATTTTCATTAATATTCCAAGGCTAAAACGGCAAAAAAGTATAATAAGGTAAAATTTGCACCATTTACTTACCGGAGATGCCATCATACGTCCACCATTCCTCCCAACTAGCTTTAATTCCTGTAAGAAAAAAAGTAATAATTGAAAAAAATTGTAAAAACTTATACATGAGCTAAAAGCTAAATTTATACAATTTTCACGACGTTGCCAGTGCACTTTTCAGGCTAATAACTTTATGACCAAATGAAAGACAAATTTTTTTTAAGTTATACCCCTGAAAGGTACCTGGAAAGAAAGTTACTCATACGCCGGGAACGAGTAGTATGTTATTAAATATTAGAATTTTTCCTACTAAACTTTGATTTTTTTCATTCACAATACAAACTTATTATTAACATATCTTAGAAAAATTACCTGATCTAGAAAAATGGTATACAGGGTCGTAATCTACGACCAAAAATTAAGTTTAAGTGTCTCGGCGTTTTTTATACAATTTTAGCGTTCCTATAGTTTAATAAATAAAAAATAACGCTTAAAAAAAAATCAAAACAAAAAAGAAAATCGTCCAATTCGCGATAAATCGAATCGATGCCAATAGAATAAAATTATAATTTAAAAATCTAAAAACTCGCTTTTATTACAGTGCAATGGGGACTAAAAGTAAAAAATATTTTATTGAAAGTACAGATTTCGTTTAAGAAGAATAAGAAGTTCCCCGACTTGATTTAATTAAACTTTGAAAACCAACCTATCAATCACGACATTTTTTTTAATCCAGCTGTTCCTCTATGGGTGATAGTAGCTAGCCGCAGCGGTACGAAGAGATTTGGAGATCGATTTCCACTGCTCATTTATGGATTTAGAGTGGATTGTGGGACCAAATGTGTTTAGTTTTCATGTGGAAAGGGGGGGGGGGGGGGTTAACCTGGATATAAGCTGTCAATGCCTCCGCCCAACTATAAATTCCACACCAATCATGTCCATGTTCATTTCGCATTTCCTGTACTGTGGTTATGTCACAGCAGGGTATTTCCCTAAGGAGGGTCCGTATATTCTTTGATAAAATTTTTGTATTGTAAAAAACACTGTAGGGACGCTCAAATTACACAAAAAACAACGAGACACCGAAACTTAATTTTGGATTGTAGATTACGGATCTGTTTTCTCATACGCTATGCACGAGTATGTACGAGTGCGGCCATATACAATGCGGCGTATGAGCAATATACACTGAGAGAAAAAAACTTTAGAATTAAAAAATAAACATGCTAAATTTAAAAAACACGCATATGAAAGAGAACCAACCCAAAACGTAATAAATTTTAGTATAAAAATTGTTGTTAAAATGAAGTATTTTGCTTTTTCATAATTAAGATAAAACAAAATCAATAGCCTTGCTGCCTCCAATGGGATTTGAACACTGACCCTCTGGAAATTAACAAATTGTGGCAAGCTACTGCCAGACATGTAAATGTGCTTTCAAATCTTGAATTCGAATCAACTCATTACTCATATCACCAAATTCATCAAATCAACATTTTTCTTAATATTACAATGCGTTTCTTCCCAGTGTAATTTCCTTTTCACTTTTTTATTTGACAATTCCAAAGCTGTTTATTTATCCATTGATTTGCATTGTTAGTAACTTGATTTTTTGGCAATGAAACAGGCTTTAATACAAGTGGAAAAAAATTAAAAAGTGCCAATTTTTTCTCATAAAAAAATGAAATTATCTTCCGAAAATGATCTGATTAAAAAAAAAAACGGTATACAGACTCATAGTCCAGCACCCATTATTAAATAAGTTTACGTGTTATGGCGTTTTTTGTGTCATTTGAAAATTTAAGATTTTCCCTACAGTGTAATTAAAGTCTAGAGTATTCCAGACTTGAGTTGTTAATGTGTTAAGCACACAAATTAGAATTCCTCAGTAGTTGTAAAAATGTAAAACAGAGGAGCGTAATTAGGTCTACAAAACTCCGTCAAACATTGATTAAATTTTAAAACTGACTGAAAAGTGCATATAACAAATTTTAACTTGAAAGTTTTAATAAAAAAAAAACTGTAATTAAAATTAATGCACAATCTCTTTCAACAGCATATTTTTCGCTGGAAAATGAAAACATGATAGTTAATACAGTACGCAAAATCCAACTGAGTTCATCGAAATGAATGTTGTGGAAAAAAAAAGCGAAACGACTAAAGCTACAGAAATTCCAACAAAATGGCAATTGCGATATCCACTACGCTTTTGTGCAACAAGGTGATAAAGTAAGACATAAAAAGTGTACTCTTTCATAGAGATACATATACACATACATATGTATGTATTTACATGCGTATTAATTGAAAAAAACTCATTTCACCTTTTGCCTTTCAACACTTTTTTCCGATTAATTTCGTATTTTTTATGTTTGTGCACATTTTAACCGTCTGTGATTGCAAGCGATAATGCCACTGACTTTCAACAGCAGTCCGTCCGCAATGAGTTACAAAAGTGTGCATGTACATACATGTGTGCACTTGCATGCGTACATGCCAATTGTGAAAGCGAACAGAAGGCGCTGTTGAAGCGCTTGCGAAGCGGTGAAGTGCAACTTAATTTCAATGCAAAAATGAATTGTAAACAATTATTTGCATATATTTTTTATGTTCAAAAAATTTGTCATCTCTATCGGGCTAAAACTTTATTTACGACTTTTTAAAGCACTCGCAATTGCAAATAGCTTTAAGCATTTTGTACAATCAAATACATCCAATGCAGCAGCAGCCTATTAAAATGTCATTGCGCATACATACACACATACATACATACATATGTGCCACACACATATTGTAGATAAGAAAAAAAATTGGATTGGTGATTATGTAAATAGTGCCTATTTTTCGCTTTAGCGTAATAAAATAATTCCAGCAGAAATCTGTTGACAAACAGTTTGGAAAAAATTTAATGCTTGTAAAACAATGGCCGTAAATACAAAATGAAAAAAAAACGAACTTTTTATTGCTGGATTTATGCAAATGCTATTTTTTGTAAATATGTAGTATATTTTCCAATTTTTTAGCCAACAAACTTAAATGCTTTAATTCAATTTAAACGCCCGCATGCGAGAAACTGTAACAAAAAAAAAATGCGTCAGCTGAGTGACACGTGGCGTATGAGTGACAAAAGAACCACCCCACGATCGCACGCACACACACACACAGCCACGGCAACTTTGTGGCGTAAAATTTGCATTCTTTCATCACCGGCTCCATGGCGCCGAGTTTTGTTTATTTAATTCTATTTTGTGTTGATGCTGATGCAAAATGGAGTCGATTGCATAGCCAAATATTTGCACAGATTTTGTGAAAATTCAACTGCATGTAATTCATAGCGCAAAGCCAATAACAAATTTTCTCAATTTTTTATTGTTACATGC